GAGCCAGCCCTGCCAGGCACTGCCCCGACTTAGGGTTCCTAGGCACAATCTCAGGGTGCAGACCCTCATTCTAGCACATCCTCCTGGGGAAAGGAGACCTCATAGTCCAACAGCCCAGCCCCTGGGACTAGTGCTGATCTCCTCATATGTCCTGTGTAGCTTAAACACATCCTCTCCCAAACCCCACCTGAAGGCATGAGCCTTTTGGGTTACAGTTTACCTCTTCCAGGGCACACGAGAGGTGTAACCCATAACACAGACTGCACAGAATTCTAAAACATCACTGCGCTTTTTTAATAGAGCAAGAAATGCACAGACTTATACAAAAATAACAAATCCTACACACATTTACTGTTAGGCTTATTTCGCCATTTTGTTTGTCCTTATCCTCCATATTGGTTCTCCTCCTTGTTGGCTAGTTGGCACCCTTTCCTTGAAATCTGCCCAGCAATAGGCACATTGGCGGGAAGACTTCAGCAGGAAAGGTCACAAGTAAGATCTGCCTGGCAACTCTGAGCCCTGCGCAGGGTGCTGTCTGCCTGCGTGGCAGCCCGTGCTCGCATTTCGGTTCCATCAAGAGAGAAGATCATGCTGGTTCCTGCTCCTGACACCTACCTTGTTCCTGTCAGCCTCACCGTGGTTCCTGTTTCGTTGGTCTCCCGGTAGCTCCTGTCCTGTTGGTCCCGTATGGCCCTGTGTGGCTCCCTGGTTCCTGTTCGGCTCCTTATGAGTTTTGTGCAGAGTGGTGAAGTAGACAGTTTATTTCATATCCTTGTAACCCACATTTGGTTAGTTTGGGGTCTAGGCGTTATGCTTCTGAGGGTGTTAACCACAGAGTTGTTTTATAAATAAAGCCCTTGTTTTATTTGTACTCTAATTATCTCTGGTCTATTTCATTTAGAGAATCACCACAGGTGATTAGATACTGATTCAAGAGATAGAAGCTGGGGAGGGAGTCCTTTATAAAGATTGCTTCCCTTTTTGGTAAAGAATTTTCTGGTAACATTACCTGCTTTGGTTTCCTCACCACTCTGGAGCATTCTTTGGGCTGGGGTCAGGATCCTCTTGCTGCAGCTCATGCCTTGATATCTGAACCCTGGAGCCTCTCTCTCCCTAGGTCAACTTGCTTTCTATAGCCTTGGTTGGTCTAAGACAGGGGTGGGCAGACTACGGCCTGCGGGCCGGATCCAGCCTGTCAGGCCTTTGGATCCAGCCCACGGGATTGCCACCCCCGTGGCGACGCGGGCCCCACGCCAGGAAGCGGCCGGCACCACATCACTGTGGCCCCTGGGGGGGGGGCAGAGGGCTCCATGCGCTGTCCTTGCCTGCAAACACCACCCGCTGCAGCTCCCATTGACCAGGAATGGGGAACCACGGCCAATGGGAGCTTCGGGAGAGGTACCCGCAGGCGAGGGCAGCGCGCGCAGCCTTCTGCCTCCCCTCTCCCAGGGGCCGCAGGGACATGGTGCCAGCCGCTTCCGGGAGCAGCACGGGGACAGGGCAGGCAGGGAGCCTGTCTTAGCCCCACTGCGTGCTGCTGCCACCCCGCAGATGCTCCAGGTAAGCGGCACCGGGCTGGAGTCCGCACCCTGAACCCCTCCTGCACCCCACACCCCAATCCCCTGCTGCACCCCAACCCCCTGCCCTGAGCCCCCTGCCGCACCCCAACCCCTCCCACATCCCAACCCCCTGCCCTGAGCCC